GTGGGAATCTTTTGCCACTATAAGGAGCAGGACTGCTGGGGTTCCAGATGCCTGTCGCACAGATGAACCGGAGTCCCGCCTGTTTCTACGTGCACACCTTATTTATCAGTATGCTTTGTCGTGCGTGGCTTGGGCACCTTATCTTGTCTGCCTGTCTTGATAAAAACATTAGAAAATTTATTGGTAAAGAAAAGCACATTTCAAATGCACAGAACCAATCCTGTTACATAACAGCAGTGCAAAACAATAGGTCACTAACCGGAAGAGAGACAGCCACTGGGTTTGGCCTAGCCTCTTCTCTGCCTGCTCCTTCTGAGTTGTACAGCCAGTCTAAGAATAATATTTTTATTGTCCAAGCCAAGCCACCTTAGTTAAATATTTGATTCTACTGGAGTCATAAACGGGGATCAAAATATCATGCATAGATTTTATGAAAGTAATTAAATGTTTCAGAAAGTTCAGTGGCTCAGCATGGGGCCCACTGCTTGTGATAAATTAGTCACACACCTTGTCATGTGTTTCCTTACCAAGTGACCTTTGCTGCTTATCTGTATTTACACTTTTCATTTTGAGGAAACGATCTCTTTGCTGTGTGTATAAAAACTTTCAGAGTGACACACTCTGAACTTCAGACAGGAATGAAACTTCCTGCAACAGCTACTTGTAAACAGTAAGTACTCAATACATGCTCTCTTCTCTTCACCTCCCAGCTGTTGCCTGTAGACTACATAAATCAGCTCCTATTCAGCATCTTTCAAACATGCAACTCTATACCTTTGAGTTGGCCATAAAAATAACTTGCAGGTTGAATTTTCTCATGACAGAAATGCTTATTGCGGTAAGCCTGGATGATCCAAAATTTTCATTTTTCTTAGGTTTCTATGAAAGTTTTTTTGGTGCTGAAGATTGAACCCAGAGGCCTCATGCATGCTAGGCAAGCACATTTTGTCCCCTAAAAACAACTCCAGCTGAAAGTTTAGTTTTTAAACAAAAATTCTGATGTTTCAGAAGGAAACACTGCAAATAAACAAAAGTAAATTATCATTATTCAGAGGCCATTACTATTACCATTATCCTTTCCAGACCTTTGACTTAGAGATGACAGCAACCTTTGGTTTCAGGCGGGACTGACTAGAAGTCTGCTGCCAGCTCATGCCCTCAGAGGGTGGTAGGTCATTTTGGGGTGTAGGTGCTCTGCTTTACTGGCTTCCTGAGGTCCCCCCTCTTGAGTACCTTCTCCACTGAGCAGAGGGGTTAGGCTGAGACAGAAGATATTGAGTTTAACTGGCTTATGGCCAGTGGAAAAGCCTGTCATTGTAGTCCCCAGAGGACTGCCCTTAGCTGCAAGGAAGCTGGGAACAGAGTCCAGCTGCGTCCAAGTACAAAGGGGACACAGCTTCTTGTACTTTGGCTGTAAATCAGAATTTTAAACTAAATGCTTTATTTTGAACCTGTTGTTGCAGACTGAGTCTAGTCCTCTCTGTCTGCACCCCTCAGAAGCTGCGGGGTCTCTGCCCAGCTGTTCTGCCTGCTGCTGTCCTTCCCTGTAGCCCATTTCCCACCCAGCCACAGCGGTACTTGTCAGACTGTATCACCCCCAGGCCTGAAAACTTTCCCCATGATGGTTGGAATGGTGTCCACCTTCCCCCGGGGCTGCCCGTCGGGTCTCGGCCCCTCCGCTGTCCTTCACCCACTGGGTGCTCCCTCACTGGCCTCTCCCTGGGATGCTGGGCCAGGCCTGCGTCAGCCCACCCAAGCCTCCTGTCCCATCTCGTCACTCTGCCGCCTTAGGTCTCGGCTTGAGTCCTCATGGGAGACCTTTCTTGTCACATCATCCTGAATTTCCTGCCCGCTCTGCTCGGGTGCTGCCACTAGCTGCCTTGTGGTCTCAAAGCACTTGGGCCACCAGCTGCCGTCCTGTCCTGCGTGCTTGGTTTGCATCATGTACCCTGCGCTGTCCCCCTGCCTGCTCGGTGGTGGACTCTGAGCAGGAGCTCAGTCTGGTTTACATTGCTGTCCCCAGATACGGTGTCAGTAATTACTTGTGGGATAGAGGAATGTTGCCACAGGTTCTTGCACGTTTTTGGTTACAATGTTATGCCCCCTTACGTGGAATGAGCCCTTACGATAGAGGAGCTTTTAGGTACTTTTTCAATTATAAAGGTGCTTTGGTGAGTATTCTTCTTCTAGTCTTCTGTTGGGGGTTTTTTGCTCCTATCTGTACTACTTGGGATTGATTTCTAAATGAGGTTTTATTTACTGGAAGGTGTGTGTGTGTGTGAGAGACAGTGACATTATAAGGTATTTGGTGTGTGTTGCCATTTGCCCTTTGAGAAGACTGCTGACTCCCAAGCCCCACATAGTTGGGAGCCCTTGTGGGCTTCTGCTGGGAGTGGAGGTGAGGAGGGGTCCCGTCTTTGTCACTGCTGTGCCCTTACATCTTTGAGTCTAGGGTCACAGTTGTTTCTTATAGTAAACAAATGAATTGATTTATCTTAGAAAAATTCTAGTTATTCCTTCACTTAAGTTTCTTTTTCTTCACCTATTTGTGGAAATGTTATGTGACTGCCTGCAGGAAGAACCAGGGCTGTATCTGCCCTGTCCCAGTAAGGCCACCCAACATCAGTGTGAACTTGGGGAATCTGGGGGTCAGCTGCATGTATTCCTTCAAATTCAGGCCAGGTTTGGTTGAGTCCTGGACCAAATCTGAGGAAAGTTCAACACACCACCCAGGATTTCTGAACAATTGAAAGAAAGAGGCAGTGTGGTGTGGGACCAACTGTACCTGGCTTTCCGTCCTACATACTGTCCTTTCCAAGTCCTCTCAGGTCAGTCATAAGTGCAAGGCTCTGCTGTTCAGGAAGAACCAGGGCTGTAACTGCAGTGGTCACAGCAGGAGTTGCTACTTCTCAGGTCTCGTCTTCAAGGCCCATTTCTCCTTCCTGCTGCCAGCTCAAGCATGTGCCCCTTCAGCCAGCATGGGACAGGGAGGTGGGACAGGGAGGCTTGGGTGGGCTCAGACCCATCACCTCCTTAACGGTCCCCACCCACTCCTGCACACAGTGTCTAGGAGGTTGCTGGCTGGAGTATTGGTAATTAGGCTTGTTTTTCTCTGGAAATCTCCCATCATCCTTTTCATTTCAATGATTCTGTCTCTCAAGTCAAATCTGAATCCCTTTGCCTGGCAGACCAGCGTTTCCTCTTAACCATCCACCTGTGGTTGTCAATGCTGTGGGTACTAGGAGGCCACCGACACTCCCCAGGTGTGCAAAAAAACTCCACACAGATGTGCTGCCGGATATAAAATAGTACTTGGACGCTGCGAGCCATTGAACTGAGCCACTGTGGGAGGATCACGATTGACATCTGGGAACAACTTGCTGAGAAATAGAAAACGTTAAGCACCTCCATGTGCTTCACATCCCATGCTGATGAGAGATTGGTGACCTCTGGCCTGTGTGTGTACAAGAGAAAGAAAAGTCAGTGCTTAAAGGAACCAGGGGATCAGCACTTTAACCCCCTGGCATTTTTGTAAGCCTGTGGACACACGGTCGTGCTGTGGTAGGGTTATGTTTCAGTTGTGCCTGACTCGCCTGGTTTTGCTTTGCGTCTCTTAATCCTTTCATGGGGCCTGTCAAACTTGAATCCACACAAGGGTAGAAGGGGGATTGATAAAAGCACAGATGAGTTGAGAGTGTCGTTTTAAATCATTTGTACTGCCCACGCATTTGTTCATGGGCAGCTTTGTCTCTGCAGATGGTTGGGTGGATGGTTGAATCCCTGAGTGTAAATGACTGAGGCGCATGCTCCAATTGATGCATGATCTGTGGTTGATTGGCAAAGGCCCTGCGTCCTGTTCTCTCCTTGTCTTATTTTTGCCCTGCCTTTAATCTTCTTCAACATTGTTCGATAATTATCGCCTTTGAATTATATAATTTTCCTTTTCCTCACCTAGGTCTTGACTAAATGTATTAGACTTATAAATTGCTGATACTTCTCCTGATGATCAGCACTTGTGTTTCCAAGGATCTTTCACTAATTTTTTTTTTAAAATCTCTCGTTTCTTTTGCAGACTTGGCTAGAACTACCATCTACCAGTTCTACACTGGTGGAAGTCTCTAGCATGACCAGGTGTTTTTCCCATTTATCTATTTTGCCATCTGATTGTCTCATAAGCACCTTGGACTCAGAGCTCTGCTTCAATTGATGTTAACAGTGACCCAAACTGGAAACGAGATTTACTTTGGACTTTTATCACCCACCTCCTCCTAGGCCATCACAACATTAGAGTCCTATATTGTTGGCCTGCTTGTCACCTCCAATAGGCCCATGAACAGATACGTATTTTTTATTTCAAGGTCAATTTCAATGCCCAGTGTATAGGAACTGCAAGGAAATAGTAATAGAGTGGACTAATGAATGGGTGAACCAACACTTTTCTGGCTTCTGAGATGGTTTGGGACAGTTGCTATTCAGGATGATGCTTTTTATGTAGTTTTATTGAAACACAGGGATTGCTTTTGCTTGCTGACGCCAAATATTTTGAAATTTTGAAAAGCAGTGATTTCTGAGAGAATTTTTTTACCATAGAAAACTTTCAGTCCTTTATCCCATGCCACACTTAACAGACTTATTACGTTTGTTACATGGTGGTTCTTGGACTTTTATGTGGGTAGTTTCATGTCTGTGGTTGTTTTCTGGTACGACTGGGAAGCACTTCCTCAAAGGCAGGAATAGTTGACGTTAGTGACCTCTTGGAATGAAACGTGGGCTTCGCTAGCTGGCTGCCTCCATCTCTGGAGCCCTGGCATCTTGGAGTTGCTGCACTTCTTTCTGGACCTCACTGTAAGGAAGAGTGGCGTCTGCTCCAGGCACCCCATTCTCTGTGCCAGTGCTGCACTAGGCAGAAGTCACAGCCTTGAAAGTTGGGTGCAAGAGTGCAGTATGTTGAAGATCAGGGTGTTTTTTTTTTTTTTAACTTTATTTTTTCTCTCCAACAGGGAGAATCCCGTATTCTCAGAGTAAAAGTTGTTTCTGGAATTGATCTCGCCAAAAAGGATATCTTTGGAGCCAGGTACGTGTGATTTATTTGTTTAGGTGGGCTTCTGTAGAGCATGGCAAGTACTTTTCAAATTTGGATGTATGTCAGAACCACCTGGAGGGATTTTTTTTCCCCCAGGGGCCACCAGCAGAGGTTGACAGGTTGCCTGGTGCTGTTGCATCTAGCCCAGGGCCACATTTGCACAGGGATCTAACTGTGCATCCCAAGGGCAGTTAGCAGGCTCCCCCTCTGGGTGGGCCCATTACATGAGGAAGTTAGAGTCTATGGCTGTGGAATTTTTTTGCTCTGAGAGAGTGTTTAGAAATGTGACTGTGCTCATTTTAATACAAGGGCTCTCGACATCCACGGTGACATCCGTGGATTCAGCCAACCTCCAGCCAAACATATTTGTGCAAAATCAATTATGTCAGTACTGAACACATCATTATTTCCTAAATAATATGGTATAACTATTTAACAGCACTTGTGATGGGTATTATAAGTAATCTGGAGATGAGTTAAAGTATACAGGAGCACGTGCATAGGTTATACACAAATTCTACACCATTTTATATCAGGGATTTGAGCATTTAGATTTTGGTGCTATGAGGGATCCTGGAACCAGTCCCCCAGGGATGCTAAGGGATGGCTGTATTTTTTCCCCCACTAGCTTTGGGAAACATGAAAGTGTCATTTTGTTCCTGCGAGAACTGGATATCCTTGATGTGTATAGTTCAAGGGAAGAGATTTGGTGATGGCTATGCTATTTACCAGGGGCAACAGCCGGAGCTTTCTGGTTGTTTTACCACCACCCCTGCCCCCCAGTTCTATATGTAATATTCACATACTTTAAAACCACCCTTTTGTCCTGCTGGACTCTGTGATATGTGGCCTCCAGTTAGTGCACTGGTGGCCAGGTGAGGGTGAAGCCACTTTAAAGTAGGAATGAACTGGGTTTGGGACAACAGATCATTTGAGCTTTAGACCCAGGAGGACATCAGAGATGGTCTCGTCCTGCCTTCCCACTTTATGGTTGACAGAGCTCAAGTTCAGAAGCTGTTTGCCCAGGTCACACAAGCCAGGATGCTGGAAGACTGACCAGAACAACCTGCCTATCCCTGCCCAGGGCTCTGGTCAGTCTGTGGCAGTGGTCTGGCTTATCGTGGGTTTCTCAGGGCAGGTGGCTGCTGAATAGTCTAATCGGGTTACTGGTTTCTTCCTGTTGGTCCCTATGCTGTGGCCCTTGGTGACTGCGGTTATAGGGCCTCCGCCTGATGCAGGAGCCTTGGAGTAAGGAGGCCCCTTTCTGTCTGATGTCGTCCCCACATGCCCCAGAAGTTCGTGCCAACAGTGGTCACACCGCTACTGTCTGATCTGCCATTTAGTTTTGTCTGTTAAAGAATTTGTAAGTTACTAGAATGACACCTAGAGAAATTACGAAGAAATACAATCGAAACAATATTGGTAAAATTCTTAAAATATCCCTGTGCCTGTGTGTGCCTCAGGTGACAAATGGAGGGTTAGCTCCTGGCGTGGTGTCACAGGGGACCTCCCGTCTTGAGTGTAGGCTTGACACTGACAGCAGCCCCCTGGAGGGCCCTTCCCATGGGACAGTGAAGTCACTCTTAGGCACAGGCAGGCCAGAGTGGGACGGAGGCAGGAGAGTCCCTGCTTCCACTCTTCCCACCTAGAGCAGCGCTACCTGCTGGTTTCGGGCCACTCCTCACCCCTGAAGTGAAACGCCATTTCCTGGGATTCTCAGTCTGCCCACCGCAGAGCCTCCCTTTCTCTGGAGGCTTTGGCTCATGTGTCCGTCCTCTCTCAGCCCCTTCTGGGGCCACGTGGGCACTAGGTTTAGGATGCACAGGTGTATTATCTGGTGGCTTTCTAACTTTTTTTTTGCTGGTCTCTCTGTTGCTAAATTAAAAATGTACTGGACACAGACATCTCACATTTTCCTGTCTTTCACCTCTTAACAGCACCAAGAACTAGAGCAAAAACTTTAATATTTTTTTTTTTTCAAACATTTACATGATTACTAGTAGTTGTGCTGTTAGGTTAAAAAATGCCTGTTACTGGTGGCGCACGCCCATAATTCCAGTATCGAGGGAGGCTGAGGCAGTAGCATCGTGAGTTTCAAACCAGCCTCAGCAACTTGGGCCCTAAGCAACTCAGATCATGTCTCTAAATAAAACATAGAAAAGGGGGTGGGATGTGGCTCTGTAGTTAAGTGCCTCTGAATTCAGTCCCCAGTACTCCCCTCCCCCAAAAGCCTATTGCTTTCACTCTTTGCAGTAAAATTAATTACTTGAAAGAAGTTGGATTTAGATAATCTTGACATGTTTTTTAAAGTTGATTAATTTTCTTTTGCATTTTTATCCAAACTTCTTCAAAAACAAAATTGATTCAGATTGGATTTCTCTGCCTACTGTGAAGGTGTGAGGTTGAAATCGTAGGGGAATGAGGCTCAGAATCTTAGAGTTGAGCAAGTTTCAGCCTTGAAGTTTTATTCTCTGGGTTTTTTTAGGGATAGGGTGAAAAAGGAGCTGTCCTCCAAGATGTTAATTAGAAAGACAAATCGTGTTTTGGCCTCATGCATCCATTGGCAGAAAGTGAGCCAGAAACTGAACCCTCTTTCTGTCCCTCCTTTTCTGAGGTTAGTGAGAGGAAACCCACACCTCCCTGCCTGCTTTCCTCCTTCCCTCTCCTCCTCTCTCAGGTGTCAGCCGACTTTTAAGTGCGGTTGTTCTTTAAGGACCTGTTTGCTGATGAGTGAGCTAAATCTGAGGGGTTGGCGCAGTGTGGGTTAGTGCCATGTTGGCACTCACTCTGGGGTAACAGGGGTGGCACCAGCTATTACCTTTTATTTGGCCTGATGACCTTAATGCTGCCTTTGGGTAAAGCCTTTAAAACCACCCATGTCATAGTGTACCCTGTAGAACAGGGACGACCCTTTCCTCAGACGAGGCATGTGAGACTCGGGAAGGAACCCAAAGTAACTCCAGTTGACAGGCAGTTCTGAGGTGTTCTAAGTTGGTGGTCACCAGCGAAGGAGGTTCTGTAGTGTTTCTGCCATCCACTGTGTCCTTCAGAGCCTAGACCAGCAAGTCTCCCTCGCCCCAGCCTACCCCCAAGTATTCTGTCCCCCTCGTGTGTCTCTGGGTACCTTTGCCTGCCCTGGCAGAAGGGGGGGGGAGGAGGAAGAGGAGGAGGGGCCGTGCTCGTGGGCAGTGTTGTCAGGACCCTGGATCTGCAGCCTCTGGGCTCCTTCTGTGTTTCCAAGGGAGGTCATTTGGTCCCTTGGCCTGAGGTAGGGCCAGAGTGTGATGGTTGAATGTGATTGACGGGGCCAGCTGGGGAGGATGGAGCATTTCATGGCTTGCCCTTCCAGGGTGGTGGTGGGGGGCTGCCGGATGCCCATGTGGGGTGGGAGTGTGTGGGGTGCTGGGGCTCCCTCAGCTGAGGTGACTGGTGCTCCCTTGAGAGGCCTGTGTCTGAAGTGCCCTTATTTTTTTGTCTCTGGGCCCCAGTCCCGTGCTTAAGACGCCGGATCATCTTCCACCTTCCCTCCAGCAAAGTCCGACTTGATTAAAGGCACCTTTGTTCAGAGGAGACCCGATAGTTGAGTTGTGGCCCTGCCTGAATGGTGGAGTTGGCACACTCGGAGGGCAGCAGTGGTGGTGAAGGACGGTCCCCTTTGGCCGCACCTGGAGGTTGAGAAAGGGCAGTTATGGTCATACATCTAAACAGGGACTCTGGAAGAAATGCCCCGTTGGGTGGATGTTAGGGAGTAAGGTGTAAGTTGAGGTTCTGGTGACTCTGGATCAGAGTCTTCCAGTCTTGACTTCCATGCCATGAAAAGACCGCTATTTTTTTTTTTTTCCAAAATAGTTTTTGAAACACTGCTGAGCAAGGGAAAATTAAACCCTTTAAAAGAACAGACTGAGTAAAGTGCTGTTAATCCTCAAAAGGGAGGTAGATCCCACTGCACAGGAGCATTGCGGGCCCCAACACAGCCTCCTTTCCCCTGAGCTTTTGCTTCAGCTGTTCTATACCTGAGACCATCCTCATACCTCGCCCAGGTCACGGTGGCACCTTTGATGGCTTGGCCTTCAGTGCTCAGCTGGCCAGTCCTCGTCTCCTTGAGCATTCAAGCTGCCTCCTGGTCTCTAGAAGGTTACTTCCCGTCTTTGTGGTACCCATAATTCCTGGGCAGCACTGGGCATAGTTCTTCATGGACTTGATTTGTCTATACTAATTTCTTATAATTGTTTTATAGTTGTTCCTAAAGTAGATCATTAGCTCCTGGTGGCCAGAATTGCATCGTTCTTTTTGTCTTCAAGGCACTTAGTGGGTCCTCAAGAAGCAATCACCAAGGGTACAAGAACTGGGAGCTGGCCCCTCTCCTCCTTGCTTCCTGTCCTACTCTTGTCATGAAAACTCGCCATTCTCTAAATGTGAAGTTGCCTCCTCGTTCCTTAGCTGTTTTCCCCCCTCCGTCTGAAATCTGCACATGTGCTTTCTGGCAGCTACTCACTCATCTCTCAAGGGCCAGTTCTTGTGGCAGTATACTTGCTGAGGTCCCCTGTCCCGTGACCCCAGCTGAGGAGAACAGAACAGTGGCTGCCACTTGAGCTGCGGTGGTTCCACATGTCTCCTCCTAGTCCCTGCCTTGTTACTGTTTGTAGGCCCAGAGGCTCACTCAGTGGAATGTGGTCAGGGTGTGCTGTGGCCCAGCTGCCGACCTCCTCCTCCTGAGGTCTGTGGACTTGTCCCTCTTGTCCCCCAGGCATGTAGGGGAGGTGCTCTTTCTGATTCTCATGGGGGCTCTGTGTGGACCTGCAGAGGAGGCCTTCCCGGGACTCCCATGAAAGGTGAGTGCCGAGAGATGAAGGGGAAGCACCCGAGAAAAGAACCTTGGGCACTCGGGGGATGGCAGCCAGGAAAGGTCTCCATCTGCTGCTAATATTTGTGTAAAATTGCTACCTCATACCCTGAAGGAGGAGCATAGTCTCACTGTGCTAAATTCCAGA